GATTTAGTTTTGACAGGGATTGGTTTAACCCTGAGAGTTGAGGGAGTGGGATGCATGTCCCAAACCTCCCTTTTCAAGGTAAGGTCATAAAAAAAGCATCTTTTGTAGAGTGGTTTTGATTTACAAAAGTAACCCTTAAACCTTTGTCTTTCAGTCGACGTATCCTTATTAATCTACAAAAACACTTGGAATTGTTTAACACTTGTTTGCAAGTTGTCTCTTATTTAACGAATAGTAAAATTACTATTCAACCAGAAGTAGGGATGGATCGTTTCCACTTTCTTGAAAAACGATTGTAATATTTTGAAAACGACGAAGAAAAAAACGAAATGAAACGAAAGTTTTCGTTTTTTAATAACAGTTTTTCAAAAACGATTGTTTTTGAAAACGACTCTTCCTTACCGACTGTTAACGACGAACCTTTCTTAACGACCGTTAAAAATGACCCATTGTTAACAACCGTTAACGACGATACTTCGTTAACAATCTTTAATTACCTTTTACAGAGAAAATACATTCGGAAAATACTAAGTCAGGAAAATTCAGGTTATTTAAGACAACATTCGTAACCTTATCTTTCTGAAAGTTAATTGAACTTAACTGTCGTAAAACTCTAATTCATTACCGAAATTTCTTTTTAAAAACTTTCGTTTTTCGTTAAAAAAAGGTAGTTCTAAAAAACACGATCGTTTTTTGTTTCTAAAAGTTGAAAAGGAGTGGTCCGTTTGAAAAAACAATAGTTTAAAAACGATTTTAAAGAAAAATTTGTAAAGTCAGGTTCGTGTCCTGTTTTTCGACAATTTAAACATGCAAAATAAGATATTAAAGAATTTAAATCAATTTTATGTTAGTGTTTATTACATATGTAAAATTACAAGTTTTTTCAAAATCGTGTATAATAATTTTTTTTAAGAATACAAAATAAAAGAAGACTTTATTAATGCATGGCTAAAAAATTGAAAGAAAAAAAAACGTGAACATTATGAACAATTATGATCATTAAGAGCAATTTTTAATTAATTAACAATTATTTAAATTTCAAGATTGAAGATTACATTATGAGGATATTTTATCCGGTCATTTAACCGGTCATTTATCCGGTCATTTAACTGGTCATTTAACCGGTCATTTATCCGGTCATTTAACTGGTCATTTAACCGGTCATTTAACCTGTCATTTAATCGGTCATTTAACCGATCATTTATCCGGTCATTTAACCAGTCATCATTTCAACAAACTCATCAAAATCTACAGTTCCACTTCCATCCTCATCAATCTCCTCTAGAATATTAAAAGGTATATGAACCTATAAACTACATATGTTGTTAAAGAGACTGTAAGCGTTCAAGTCACCATCCATGCTAACATGACAATGCCCGATTCCCAATGGTACCAAGAAAAATTTTGTTTGATAAAGTATAATATGGCATATACAAATAAATGATGATTGTCAAAGATATGAAGAAAAGTGATTCCGTTAGCCTGAAGCCCAAACATGATGCAAGGATTAGCTTGGCTTGGGTTGAACGTCCTAACATACCAGTAGAGGGCATAGAGAAGTTAGTTCTGCATGAGATCCCTGACCAGGCAGTCGATTATCTCAATACTCACCGTAAAGGCGGACATTCGAATATTTGTTCTCCATAACCTTAAGATTTACTATTTCGTACAGTTTTATTATGTTTTACGTGTAAATAGATGTTTTGTGTGAAATATGCGGATTCGTCACAGTTCAGGGTTAATTTTAATAAAGTTTAAAATTAATTAGATTCTAAATTAAAAACTGATAAATTGAAAGTGACTTGCGCATTTCTACTGCAGGAAAACTTGAAATCATACAGAAATTATCAAAGTTAAACACTTTAAAGGGACCGACCGGCTACGTAAGGTAGCTAAACTGAGTACTTAGTGATGGGGACCAATTCTTTAGGATTCATTTGAGACATAAAATTTTTTTTAAAGATCTGTAAATCCTGGGTTAGAGCGCAAAGTCAAACGTACAAAATCGTACTTTTGGTGGATAAGTTTTCAGAATTTTTTTTCAATTATTAAATAACGACGACAAAAAATGTAAACAAAATTTGACATTAAAATAATTAGTTGTTTAGGAACAGGTTGAGAAAACAAAAATTAACTCTTATCATCGAAAATAAGTAATCTTATTCAATTATTAGTTCTATAATCACAAAGATTTTCTGCAGATTTTCTGGAATTTTTATTAAAAAGACGACATTTGAAGAATTTTAAGAAATCTGGGAACAAATTCATAAAAAATAAGAAATTCAATATAGTGACAAAAAGGAAATAAACAATTCTAACTTCGATTTATTGACAAATTTCTTTTGAGAAATATGTTCCTAAACATCTAATTAGTTTACTATAGAATATTTACTGTATTTTTTGTCGTCGTTAATGAATAATTTAAATAAAACGATTCTGAAAACGTTCCCACCCAAATTCAGGATTTTGAACGTCGACTTTGCGCTCAAACTCATTAACTTTACATCGTGGAAACTTGTCTCAAATGAGTCCTAAAGAATTTGTCCACAACACTGTATACTCAGTTTAATTACCTTATATAGCCGGTCTGTCCCTTTAAAGCCAAGAAAAACGACAATATCTAACTGATCAGATTAAAGTTTCAAGATACCGTCGTCAATCAGGCATTGTCATCTTTATGGAAGTTGAAATTAAGCCTATAGTCTTGTTCTGTTGAAGGTTTCAATATGTGCAGATTTTAATCTGCTTTCTCACTTCTATAGGGGTATCTTTAATGGAAGGTTAGGTTCCAGAAAACAAATAGAATATATATCCACTCAACTTAGACTCTCAAAACCAGCAAAAAAATCCAGGTAAAATAGACCAAGTGCGGGTAAACTGCAGGAGTAACTATGAGTAACTATGGGCAATGCTTGGTTCCCAAATATAAAAATGAATCGCATTTGATAAAAAAAATCTGACTTAAACAAAAATTGATGTTAAAAACATCTTAATTAAAAAAGGTTTACCTATGATTCCGTTTAGCTCCTCCTGGGTCAATTTAGGATCAAGCTCATGAAGAATTTCCTTCAGAGTTCCAGTAGTTATATACCCGTTCCTTTCCTATACATAGTTCCAGTAGTTATATACCTGTTCCTTTCCATAACTAGTTCCAGTATTATATAACCGTTCCTTTCCTATACATAGTTCCAGTAGTTTTATATCCGTTCCTTTCCTATACATAGTTCCAGTAGTTATATACCCATTCCTTTCCTATACATAGTTTCAGTAGTTTAATATCCGTTCCTTTCCTATACATAGTTCCAGTAGTTATATACCTGTTTCTTTTCTGTACATAGTTCCAGTAGTTATATACCTGTTCCTTTCCTATACATAGTTCCAGTAGTTATATACCCGTTCCTTTCCTATACATAGTTCCAGTAGTTATATACCCGTTCCTTTCCTATAACAATAAACAAATTACATGGTTTTGTTTTAAAATATGATTCTTATTAGTTATTATATAATTGAGAATTAATTTATGAAACACTTGCTGAAGTGTCCGGCATTGCTAAAATTCTTTAAATTATTCGAGAACTAACGACGATATTGAGCCAACTTGCCATTGCCAGGCCTTGGTTTGAACTTTCAAATCCATTTTACTTATTTGTATTTCAATAGAAAAACAATTTGCAAAATTCCAAAATCACAACGTACCCTTTGAACCTTTATCTTAATAACAATGTGGAAGGCATTGTTGTATTCTCTATAAAAATTATTTATTCTGTAAATTGTCTTCCTTGCCTCTGCTGCATAAATATACAAGTAAACTCTATAAAGAGAATTTTTATTAATAAATCAAGTAAATTTCTATAATTTCAGCTCAAACAAAGGGTTAAAGGATATAATTTTAAATGATTAAATGGAGGTCCACTTGTCCCTGGAAACCTGGACTATCTCATACCTTATCATAAATCCTGAACTATCTTATACCTTATCATAAATCCTGAACTATCTTATACCTTATCATAAATCCTGAACTATCTTATACCTTATCATAAATCCTGAAAGCATCTTTTAATTCTTTCTTCAATGCTTCTTCATCTTCTTCCACTAGAAACCTGAATAAAATCACAAAATTGATCAGAATTGATCAGGGATCAGACCTGGGACAATTGATCAGGGATCAGAGCTGGAAACATTTTGTTGGATACTCATTATCGCGATATTAAATATGGAGTTACTTTTAATCTAGAGGATCAATGGTTGATCCTCTAGATTAAAGTTATCCCTGCATGTTATGACCAGCACGGAATATCGAAGATGAATTTAGTAAATCCGTAGGTCTGAATAAGATGGAGATCAATACTTGATTCCTATAGTGGATATTTCATAATATTTATTTTATTTTTCATGATCTGAGAATTACTTTTGAAAACATTTATTCCTGTTTATATAATGAAGACGACATTTTCATATTTTCCAGGAATGTTCGAAAATACAGCGCCAGCGAAATATGCGTCGAAAAATAATCAATGGCTATTGTTTGAAATGTCTGAATAATTTGTTTGGAATTAAATTGATTTGTTTACGATCCGAGTTGAATGTTGCAACTTTCTGAATTTGTATGGACGCTACCTTCTTTGGTATAAGTCGTTTTTAACAATTTTTTCCGTTAAGGCGCAACAGATAGAAATAAGATTAGCAGCGATCAAAAGCACTTATTTTTCGTTGTAAGCCTGGGCCCTATATCATTTTTCGCGAACACTCCCTTTAATTAAAGTTATTGCTGCACAGCTATGAATACCAGATGATATCGAAGAGGAATTTAGGTATGTATAAGATGGAGATCAATATTTGAGTTGATTCCATCCCGAGATTTAAAAAATAGAAAAGCTTACTTTGGATTTCATAAAAAGGTGGGACAAGTAATTGCAGTAATTGTAGTTGGGAGAAAACTAAGGTTAGCCCACCCCTGGGACACCCCTGGGACAAGCCCCTGGGACACCCCTGGGACACGCCCCTGAACATTTCTTATTTAGAAAAATATCAGTTTTCAAACAAATTAAGCGAAATCCCATCTGCTTGAGTTTCAGTAAATTTATTGAATTGAGTCTTTGTCACAAACTCTGATTTTCCAATCACTGTATCTTTGCAACCCATATGTCGTAGACCTTAGATATTTAAACTATTCCTTGGATTAAATAATATAATTTCGAAATATTACATGTTTTCACCACCAGGTTCCAAAAAAAATTTGAGACTCAACTTCATTAAGAATGTTTAATATTTACCTTGCACTAAGCATAACAAACTCTTCAAACTCAAGTTGTCCTGACCCATCCTCATCAATATCTTCAACTATTGCCTAAAAATAGAAACCTTAACAAGTCATTTTTAGAGAGAAAAATAGGAATATTTTAGTCTAGGTTTTTATGTTTAAAAATATTTTTTTTAGAATTATCCTGGCATCTGTATAAGTTTCCCCTTTTAGTCATAGATTAATAACAATACAGATAGAGCACAAAATGTCGTCTTTTCAAGATTTAAGGGTTTTTCGTTCACTTCACAATAACCCTGAGGCCTAAAGGAGTTTTGCGCAGGAAGCGTTGAATTACAATACAAGACAGAGAGAGAGAATACGCTCAACTCCTTTGGGCCTTTGCCTCAAGATTATTGTGAACGAAAAACCCCTAAATCTTGAAAAGACTACATTTAGTGTTCTATCTGTATTTTTATTAATCTATGCTTTATAGCGAACTGTAGACTATTGAATATTTAACCTTTATAATATTAAACTCTATATATTGTCTGCACATAGTAGAATTCTGGTAAATATATATTCAGAATAATATTCGAGAAACTCAGAATATAAGAAGAACCAGAGATGGAATTTAAAGAATTTGAGCCGAGGTTTAAATCTGCCAAAACCCGGTTTAAATTAAGCGCCGGCTTATATCTTGAAACATTTAATACAATTTTAAGTGGAACCAACCATATTTAAGCCGCGGCTTAAATTTAAACCGCCGCTCAAATTCTTTAAATTCGGCCACAGAGCTGGATTCTCATAAAATCCCGATAGATTTACTGCGATATAAGTTTGAGTTTGAGTTAAATTCCTACAGAGTACAATTACACATGCGGGGCAGGGG